ACGCGAAGGGGGGGGGTCTGGGGCCCTCCCCCCAATTTTTTTTTTAATTAGACCCCCTCAGATTCGTTTTCTGCGCGAGCAGGGGGGTGGGGGTCCGGACCCCCTGGACCCCTCCCCCCTTGTACACGCCCCTGCAGTAATTGAAATGATTTTAGGCTGCCCATGTCTCCAAATTATCATAATTAGCTGAACTTTCAAGTGGGGCACGGAGGAAGGAGTTTTTTTTTTGAATCTCGGGTGGGATATTTGTACAGGTCATCTCCCCTCCTTCAATTAGAGCAGGGGGGATGCATCTCCCCCATCCCCTCCGGGATTTACGCCCATGCCTAATACTCATCTGCAACAAACGCTGGCTGCCGCGGCACACTGACACATCTACACGTCCTAAATATATAGCAGGTAGGAAAGCGTGCTGCAAAAATTCGCTCGACGCTCGCTTGATTTCACACGAATACAACACAAATATTCAACCATTCTACTCCATCTTTAATTGTTTCTATTTGAAGAACAGTGTTCACTTGTTATAAAAACATACTGTCTGTGTTTGTAACTGAACTGTGTCAGGCGAAATCACACAAAGCCTGACGAAATTGTCGCAATCGCTCCCGTTGCGCAGTTTATGTAAATGGCTGCAAGTACAGGGCTCTAGGCGGCGCACTGCATTTTGGGAAACTACCACGCTGCTTTCCAACTCCCGTATGAGCCTCGTCAAAGCTGCCAGTGGAGTGTTGCAAAAACGTTGCAGAGTTGCGGCGCAAAAATGAGGTCACGCAAGAGCATCGTGGGTGTTTCCTCATTCTGACAGCCATTTACATAAACTGGCAACAACGGCAGCGAACGCGAGAAATTTCGTCAGGCTTTGTGTGATTTCGGCGTGACACAGCTCGGTCGACGAACATAGACAGTATGTTTTGATAACAAGTGAACACTGTTCTTCAAATAAAAACAAAGATGGGAGTAGAATGATAGAATATTTGTTTGTATTCGTGTGAAATCAAGCGAGCGTCGAGAGAATTTTGGCAGCATGCTTTCCTACCTGCTATATATTTATGTGTCAGTGTGCAGCGGCAACCAGCGTTTGTGCAGATGAGAGATTTGACGGTATTTACAGGAAATTGTCGCAATAATAGGTGAAAGAGAGTAGAGAAACATTAAGACTTTGGTAGTAAATAGATTTTGTATTTATTTAGTATTATATTTTATTGAAACGCTCTAAGTGCCTGTGGAGTACATAGCCGGTGTAGCGTGAAATTTCTGACTTGCGAAATTCATGATATAGTATTTGTATGCCAGAGTTTGTTGTTTAATTCGCATTGTTCGCTTGATTCTTCGCGTGGACGCATTGTATTTTTTTCTCAGCTCGCATAGCAGGCAGCTCGCATAGCATGCCATAGAGGCATGTCCAAGAGCTGATCGATCAAACGACGTCGTGTGAATGCTCTCTTCACCGACGCTCCGTGTCGTTTTTGATCAGAATATCAACTACAAATCTTTACCCTATCAGCTCTAAACTCTAACTATTAATACATTTAACTATAAAACTATTAAAATATAAACATTACAACACAGTTTGTGTTTGTCCAAGTGTACACAACTTTTGTAACACAAAGACGAGCTGTGATTGGTC